AAAATTACTTGATCCTATTTGCTAACAAAAATCACCCTCTAAACTAGTCTAAAGTTGAAAATCAAAGCATTTTTACTGTTCCAAAATGTTTCCACATAAAAAAATTTAAATAAACATTGTGAAACAAATTGATCTGCACAGAGTTGTAAGAAAGGGTCTTACAATTTATTTTAAGAAGGGTCAGAGATGATCTGTGTTAAAGGCAGATAGTACCGTTATATTTAGTGTTTCACAATTTAACTACCAGCTAGTTTAAACTATTTGACTTACTATATAATACTTATATTATTAGTAAAATTATCTATTAAGTTATTGAATTAATAACTTTCTTGAATCTTCAAATTAATTTAATTGTTTTTTCTTACTTAGCAAGTTGTCTATTTTAATAGAAATGATAAGTAAATAATAAATAAATGTACTATGCATATACATTTCAGACATATATGTTTCACATTTCTTATTCCTCTTAGATAACTACAATCCTAAATCCTTATAGCTAAGACATTTACAATTGGCTATTTTTCTTATAAATTACTATATTGTACATCTTAAATTTAATTTTTAATACCAGCTCTCTTTATTAAATATTTAGGAATATAAACAATTTATTTTAAAAGTTGAAATTTGTTTACCTATTCAATAAAGAAAAACAATATGTAATTCGTTTAGTAATACAAATTTATTTAATTTAAATTAAAAAATTCAATTTATAATAATTTTAATAGTTATAATATGAAACATGACAATCTTTTTAATTGAATGTATGACAATAATGTTGGCCAGCCAAATTGTTCACAACCTCTAATCTAAGCTGCCAATTTGTTGCATTAATTACAAAAATGTTGCATGACTAGATGTAAAAAACTAAATAATAGAGATTCATGTACTTTGTTCTTACATAAAATTATTTTTGAGCAAAATAATAGATAAAAAAAAAATCTACAATAAGCCTAATGTTAATAGTGCGATGAACAAAATAAAAATTAATGAGAATTAATTTAAAATATAAAAAAGGCACTACATTGTCATCCAAGGAAGACTGTTCATTAATTTTGTACTGTTTAAAATATTATTGTAGTCATGCGTGGCAATGGAAAAGTAAAATGCTTATTTTTTCAAAAGTATAAAATTAACCATTTAAACATATCTTTGGTAAACAACAATATTTAACTAAATGGCACTGATTTTGGTCTTGGTTTTAAAGCTAACATATAAATCATGCCAAATAGATTTGAATATATGATTCGAAAATTAAAAAATTAAAAAATTAAGAATTAAGTGTCTGAACTGAACAACCCTTTTAAACTTTTATACAGAGGTAGGAATACAGCTGTTCTCTTCAGTCTGCCATACTAAGCTATAGTGCATTTCCTTTGCTGGTGTTTGAGTGGTACTGGTCGTAAAACGGCTCTTACGGCTTCATCAAATACCTTGATGATTTACAAGAATAATTTGAATATCATAGAATAGTTAGGTTCATCAGAAAGCACAAATTATTTCACTTACCAGTTTTAATCCTCTTTGAGTTAATGCAGAACATTCGAGATATTTTACAGCTCTTATTTTATTGGCCAACTTTTGTCCCTGTTCACGTTTGATTGGGGATAGTCCTTGTTCAGACAAGACATTTAACGTTTCTTTGTCTTCTCTTAAATCTATTTTCGTACCAACTAAAATCATAGGAGCATCTGGACAGTGATGTTTAATTTCCGGATGCCATTTGGAAACCACATTTTCAAAAGAAGATGGACTAGCAACACTAAAGCAGACCAAAAATACGTCAGTCTGAAAAAAAAATATAATACAACAGTTGTGATATTCAATAAGCTAAATAACAAATATTAACCTGTGGATAGGAAAGTGGTCTTAGACGGTCGTAATCTTCTTGTCCAGCCGTATCCCATAGGCCAAGGCTAACAGGAATACTGTCTACCACCATGGGTGCAGAGTAGTTATCAAATCTATTGAACAATAATCAATACTCAATAATATTGTTAAGCCCATTGTTTAAATTTGTTCGATGATTTAACACTTACACAGTAGGAACGTATTCTCCTGGAAAGCTGTCGGTAGTATATGATATTAACATACAAGTCTTGCCCACTGTACCATCGCCGACAACCACACACTTGATTGGTCGTCCTGCTGACATATTTTGATTTTGAATTTTTTATTTTATTTTCTATGCTGTCTGTTATAATCCCAATGCACAATCTGTTTGTATTTCAAACTGGAATATATTATACATATACATTTACAATACCGAGAACTCGCCGTGTAACAGCCAGCACTTAACAATGCTTTATCGGTTTACCAGCCACTAAATATAATAGGCACGACCCATGTCAATTACTTTTAATTAGTTTAATGATTAGCAAATGAAAAAATAAATTAGAAAACTTACTTGCTATTATCATTTTTTGTTTTATTTATCAACATTGGGAGGCAGTTATCATTGTAGATTTGGCTATTGGTTGTTCGTTTGAGGTTACAAGGAGAGTATACAACTATAGGTCTATAGGTACTACTGAAACGACGGAGCACAGGCGGACGTACGGCAGCAGCAGCTGTTGCCCAATGTATTTATTATAATACAATTTACATCACAATGAAATACTAAAATACTAATTATTTAAAACATTATTGATATAATTGGTATTAGGTGTTTATATTTAATATTATACGATTATTATAGTGGAAGTGGACACCCCACTGTGACCTATGTCCTACATAATATTATATTATTCAGCAATTATTTTCGTGAAATCTGTAGTAAGAACCGAGATGACATTTACCGATTAGTCCATCTACCGCCTAATTTATTTATTATGCTTCACGAAATTTTAAATCAATTATCATAGATAAATAGATTTTTTGATTTAAATTTTTTTTTCTTAAACATAAAAATTAAAATCAATAAAAAAGAAAACCCGGAGAAGTTTCTCCGATGCTGTATAGTGATATTATTAGGTGTCGTGTTTACCTGCTTATTGAGTAGGTCACGACTGTATAAGTTTGTCAAATTTTTTTTTAAACATAATTCTATGTTACGCCATCTGTTACAATAGAGAACAATAAGCTTAAGTGATAGGTATCTTAAAACAAAACAGACAGAAGAGAAGTTTCTCAAGTTAAATTTTTTTTTCGGAAGGTTAAATTTATTTCGACCAAAAACTAATCGCATATAATAATAATAATAATAATAATAATAATAATAATAATAATAATAATAATAATAAATAATTATTATAATATTACCTCTTAGTTCTTACTAAGTTATAAAAGTCAATACCCATATTATGTACCTACTGTAAAACAATGGGAATAAGGTTGAGGTATAAATAGATTAAAAATAATCAGTGTAAATGTTTTGACATTATTAATGTACAATGCACCCATACGGCTTATACTTTAAGTTACTATTAAATACCTACTCAATAATAGCAAAGAGTAACAAATTCCTACTAATAATTTTTAATTGCCTACCTTATACCTACAACCTTCAACAAAATAATTATATTATAATCGTTATTCTTCGTTCAAATAAACAATTTCATCGAAAAAAAATTATGCAAATATTCGTATATTTTAGAAATTTGTAGGTTTTTATAAGAACAACTTACAAGGACCTTGTGGCTTGTAATACATTTTCAAGCTTTTTGACCAAAAGTAAAATTGTTATTTATATACTTAGAAAAACTAAGCAAAGTCAGTCTTCCAATACCTACATCAAGTCAAAAATATAATGAAACTTTAACTGTTTACAAGATAATTTACACGTTTCATTGATTTTGTCAAATTCCTTAAACATTTTAACCTGCAGGTAAAATACTTTTCGTTGATCAGTAGTTTATTTAGGACTTTCTAAATGGTAAATATGTTACTGCCTTGCACGCCGAAGAATTGGAATTACACGTCATTTATAGACTATAGACTATAGTTGATCTTTATTATTTATTTAGTACATATTTCATAGAATTAAAATAAATGAGGAAACTCTCATGTTGCTTTTACAGCCATTCAAAATTATAGAAAATACATTAGCTCATTTTTTAATGTGCATTTGAAATCTTATTTCTACATAATTGGATATTTAAATAAAAATTGTTAGGTATATTATAATTTGATATGCATAAGGAAATTTCCAAAAAAATTAGACTAACATTGAGTTATTTATAACATCACAATTCTTGTATAATATATATATAATATATTTATACCAAACTGTATATTTTAAGGTAGGTAGGTACATCGGTGTTGATTACAACATAATTTATCACAAGGCGTTTAGGACGCAACCTTACGTACGGAATACATTGCTCATGATATTGACTGATAGTGACGTAAACTCATGGAACTTCTCAACCCATAGAAAAAGAATTAAGGCTCAACCTTAGCATAAATTATGGTTTTTTAAACATCTTATTCTTTACTGACAAAAGTGGTGATACATTAGGTTGGTGATGATGGGGTATCAAACGAAAGGAGCCTGCTTATTGAAACAAAAATTTATAAATTATAAAAACCTACCTAAGTAAAACTTTGATAAAGTATCCGTATCTTTCTGTTTTTTTTTCTCAAAAACTGTGAACAACTTAAACATGACAAACAATTCTCAAAGATAAAATGTTAACTTCATACAAATAATTGCTATAATACTATTGAAAGTAATCACATTATCATTAAATTTGTAGGAGAGGTACCTTAAATTCTATAGTCTTTAATCTATATCCATATTTCAAAATTTAACAGTAGGTACACATTACACTGTTTACAGAATAATAATAATAAACATAATACAATATTATGCTAATGTTTTTTTTCCATTAAGTAACAGGGAACATTTCATATTTTGATCATTAATGTTTTCTTATTTTTCTTGTAAAAAAAAACGTCCTTATTATATTATTGTGTTATTTTATTATATTATTGATCATTATACCATTCAATTTATCTTTTATTTATAAAAAAGTTAAATAAAACACAACACATTTTACAATTTAAACTTAAATGTTAAACATAACAGGAGTAAATAACAAGTATGAAAATATAAATATTTATTAAATAATGAAAGTACAATAAGCTCACTATAAAATTAGTACGTGTTTTAAAAGACAAAATTAAAATTAAAAATAATTATTATATGATGTATATTAATTATTTCTTTGTTTATTATACTTATGCATGGTTATATTATAAGTTAATAAACAATACGAACACTTGATAAAGGAATGTTTGATCTACACAAACAATTTAATTTTTAAAAGCTGACATTTTTAGTCAAGTGTGAATATTCTAGCAGATATATCGCTAACCATCCAGTTGATGCCTTCCAACAAGTTTTCGCCAGTATATGCACTACAATGTATGATTTTCCAATGGTGAGTTTTAATTCGATCTAATTGTAAAACCTAAATTTAAACAAAAGAATAAAATATATTATTACATATTGATTAATTATTTTGAATGTATTAAGTTACAAGTTTTTTGAGTTATATTTCTAAAAATATACCTCTTTTATTTCTTCTGATGATAAAGCACCTGGTAAATCCTGTTTATTCGCAAATATCAATAATGTAGCTCCAGCCAATCTCTAAAAGTAATAAATATATTGTATACAAAAATATAATTCATTCATATTTAAACATAGCTTATCAATGGTGAACTCGAAAAAACATTTTGGTAAAATGTATGAAAAATATCATACAATCTTAAATTTGTAATTATTCAAGAGGTTTGGGTACCAATATTTGTTGTTCTATCTTTCATAGTGAACATTATGTGTAACACAGTAAAAGCTACTAACTTACCTTCCATTAAAATGATTGATGAATTCTTAAAATAAAATAAAATTCAGTATTAAGTCTATTTGAGATTGGTCAGGCCACTTTTTTGAATTTCACTCACTAATTCAAACTTTTTGAAATTTTTATTTATTATTTATAACATAACTGAAATTAAATTGAAAAATTGGTCAAATCAATCTCATGTACACTTCATACTGATTAAAACCTGTTACTATAAGCTTTATCAATTTACTAAATGGGTTCTAAAGGAAGTAAAATTAATTATGAAGGAATACATAGACAACAAATATCAATATCCTAACCACTACATGGTACGTTGTTGTTTTTAAGATTTCTTGATATTTTTGGAGATGCTATCAAAATCCCCTGCCAAGCATGTTCAGTGTTCACCCATATAGCTTATATTTTAAAATACCTCTTCTTCAATTAAACTATGCAATTCCGTAGTACAATCACTTAGTCTTCTTTTATCAGCACTGTCAACAACCCAAATAAGGCCATCAGTACTTTCAAAATAATTACGCCAATATGATCGCAATGACTTTTGACCACCAACATCCCACACATTTAGTTTATAGCTGAAAAAAAATATTACTAATAAAAAAATAATTAAAAGTACATGTATCATTGTTATACCAATTGGAATTTATTATTTAGGGAAAACTATGAAAACTACTTCTCCATAAATCATTAGCAGTGGTGTACTTAGGAATATTGCGCCCTAGGCACACAATGAGGTAGGGTCCCATTTCAATAAAATTTAACAAAATAAACTTCTAATGTACCAGAAGAGTAGGTGACATAGTCAAGAAGTAAAATAATACCATGAATACCTTCTCCCAATAATTTGTCAAATCTTAAAGCTCCAAAAACGAATCTTTCCATAAATTTGTTTATAAACTTATCCTCAACATTTTGAATGGCTATTAGTTGCGTTCTGCTCCAAAAATGTCTCCTCAATTGTGGTCTATATTTTCTAAGAGTACAATGTACTCAGAACATACTATCTTATATATCATACTTATCTTTGGGACACAGGTACACAACTAGTATATAGGCAAAGTTTTACTTTTGCCTTATTTAATCTTGAATATTCTTTAAAAAGGTATATGTTAAATTGTAAAAATTAAAATGTATCATTGGTATTAGATACTTTGAACACCAAGCACCTGTGCCCGTATATGGGGCATGAAGACATGAAGAAATTGCCCCCTACATATACTACTGTCAAAAAATATATTAACATTGCATTCCTCAGAACTTAAGAACTAAAAAATGTAATGTATAATAATAGTTATTTAATTAAATACCTTTTATGATCTAATGTTTTAATGTTAAAACCCAATGTTGGTTCAATTGTATTAGTTGGCTCTCCATTGTATTTTTTTAGTATTGTTGTTTTCCCAGCATTATCCAAACCTCTGATTAAATAAGGATATTAAGAATAAATAAACAATATTTAATTTTTTAAATATTACACTATTTCTAAATTATAATTATTACTAGGTATCTATAAAAAATATTATGATTTATGTATGAACATAAAACCAGTGGACTCTTTACATATTATTAGTTATCTATCCAATAACTAATACGTATATTATAGAAATTGGTAAATTCAGTTTATTCTATAACACTGACATAAATATTTATAGTAGGTAAATAAAAATTATACATAAGTTTAAAAAAAGGATACAAAATTAAGATTCTCATCTCTTTTTCCTTCTGTTTCATTTTCTTCAGAACTGTCATCAACCCCATTTTAAATGAAACTTTGAAATATGTTTGAATGTTTATCTATATACTTAACAACTATACATTATTTTACACATGCACACGTCACTTGTAATAATATTAAGTTATTTTAACCAAAGAATGAGTTTTTTAAAATATTTTATTTAATGGCCTCTTATACGATTGAAAATTTGAAAATAGATTAAAATTAAAGTGATTGTTTTGTGCTGTACTGCTGTAGCCGTAAGTTACTCTCACAGATATAGATAATAAACATGATAATATAAATAATATTATCTATAATACTTATCACGATTAAAGATAGTATATTATGACATCTGCGATGCCGCTAACATTGATTAGGAACGAGGTTTTGACAGCTGCTATAATTGATAAGATCTTGTCAATTTTTGTTTCAAAATCAAAAATGAATCGATCGCGGTGGCTGTGGACCGTGTGAACAGTGTTAAATATGAATTTTAAAACTTTTGAAGGATAAAATTATTGTTCCAAGTGTCGGTTGTATCATATTATATTTCGTTTGTATAGGCCTGTCGGGTTAATAAAAATTATCGAATTTACGTACGTTTTTAAATTGTATGTTTCAAATTATTTGGATTATATTTTTTTGATATGGACCGATTTGAGTATGCTAAGCCTGATCCAGCCGAGACCGTTCTATGGCGTCACAGCAATATCACTTTGTACGATGGCAATTACAAAACTTCGTTTCACCGTGGTAATATCATTTTAACTGCCACTCGTCTTTTCTGGGTGTCTGGCGATGCGTGGTTGTCTTTGCAGCTACGGTACATAGTGTACATTGAATCAACAGTTACTGACACTTTATTTGGTTCAAAAACTAAAACAATTCTTGTTCATTTATTACCATCTGATAATAAAAATCCAGGCCCTGTTTCTTGTGCCAAAGGCGAGTACATCAAACTTGATTTTAAGGACAAAATTCCTGATGGGTTTTTGGATGTATTTCAGAAAACTATTGGAGAAAAACAGTGGTCTGTTAGTAAGATTACCCGTCAAATTAGAACAGGAATCGGAGGGATTGAAAAAAATATTTATGAAAAACAAAAAGCCTCTGATATTAGTATAACAGATGCTTTTAAAGACTTAGACAGACTTATGATTACTGCTAAAGATATGGTATCATTAAGTAAAAACATTTCTGAAAAAATTAAAGAAAAACAAGGGGCTATTAGTGATGATGAAACGGTACGCTTCAAGTCATACCTTTTAGGTCTCGGTGTCGATGACCCAGTTACTAGATCATCATTCACTGATTCAAATGCATATTATACCACACTTTGCAAAGAAATAATCAAAATTATTCAAGTTTCATTAGAAGAAGTTGGTGGTACAATGGCCCTTGCAGATGTTTATTGTCGGGTAAATAGGGCTAGAGGATTAGATCTTTTATCACCTGAGGATTTAATGCATGCGTGTTACATGATGAATACTGATCAATCATCGCCTATAAAACTAAGAAAATTTGATAGCGGAGTGTTAGCTTTACAATCATCTTTATGTGATGAGTCTGTTGTATTGAAAAAAACTGTTGAAGCATTACAAGAATGTGGATCATTAAGTGCACAAGAATTGTCTACATTAATTGGAGTGCCAGTTGTATTAGCTAAGGAGTATTTGTTATCTGCTGAAAAACATGGGAAGTCATGTCGAGATGAAAGTATTGAAGGTCTAAGATTTTATCTTAATAAATTTATTGATGAATACATATAAAATAACAATTTCAAAATGTTGTTGATCAAGAACAGTATATTTTTAATAAAAACTTTTGCAAATATATATTTTTAAAATTAAATGTAATTTGTTTAGAATCAAATATTTATATTCAATATGAACAACCTGATATGTAAAAGAAAAAAATGAGACTGTGTTTGTTAAAATATAAAATTATTAGAGAATAGTTATAGTTAATAAATTATAATGTTAAGTATTTTATTTTATTTTTATTAATCTTATAAGTTATATTACTTGGTATTTTTTTGTCAATAGTATTAACTAATTACTATTAAATTATTTTTAATATTTATAAATTTAGTTACAATTTGAAATGTCATAATAATAAATTTTATTATATTATTGGCTTAGTCACTTAGATAGTAAAAATATTGATTTTTTTCATTAAATTTCAAAACAATTATTTGCTCACAAATTAAAAGCATTTGGTTATTTATGTTATAAATTGAAAATGATTTGATTGATTATGTAATATAAATGGATATTTTTACTTTATACTGATGTATTATATTACTGAAACCTAATACTTATTTATTTGTCACCAACAAGTAATTGATCTATATTATTTTCATAATATAAGTTTTCTGAAATTATATACCTAATATAGTAAGTAACGTGAAACAGTGTTACATTATGTGACAGTATTATACTTTCATACTATGACTGTATTATTTATTAATATTTGTAAAGCCAACTAGTTAATATAGAACATAAGTCTGGAATTATTTTAATAAAACATTACAAATCTAGAACCAAATGGACGAAAAAGTACAACCAAAATGAATTTACTTTATTATTTGTAAGTTTATTATAATATATTTTATTTTCATTGTTAGACTAAAAGTAATGAAGTTCTATACTCGCCAAGCCAATGGTGTAAAAGAATGGATCCAGGCATAGTGGTAAATAAACATATTGAAATAGTTCAACTAAGTAAGTAAGACTAAGCACTAATGAACAAATATAAGAATCAACAGATATATTTATGCAACCTAACTTAAATATTTTTAGTCAGTGAACAAATTAAGAAATCCAGATATTGTAGATTGACAAATATTAGATATGGGTCTGGTGACCAACAGTTATTAGACGTTTACGAAGATGGACTGACTTCTCCGGGTTATACTTTTGTTTACATTCATGGAGGATATTGGCAAGAATTAAACAAAGACATTTCTGCCTACTGTGTAGAACCATTAGTAAATGCAGGGATTCGAGTAGTTATACCTGGTTATGATCTCGCTCCAAAAGGTACATTTTATTATGCTCTCATTTATGTCAGATTGTCAGATATACAAAAAAAAAAAAATAGGCAAAATGGTTACCGCTTTGCTTTACATAGGTGCCTAATGTTGGTATTTTGTCATAGTAATGACACCAGTAAGTCACTATAATGGAAATGTTAAATTTGAAATTTTTAATTTTTAATTCAATGATAAGTCATTGAAAATGAAAAATCTTTCTTAGCGAAGTCAGTCTATATTAATAAGTATATTTTGAGATAATATTAAATTGCTGTTATAGTAATGTATTTTACTTTTAGTAATATGGAAGGTTGAATTAATTTTTCCAAAAATATTGCATTTATTTTATATTTATATCATACTACAGTAGAAATTGTTTATAATGACTTTCAAGGGACCAAAAAAATAGGTCATACTAATCGATAGTCGTTAGTCATTACTATAAATAAAATTTAACACCTAGAACTTACCAATTAATTTTTTCGGGTTCTTTGCTTTAAGTATATAAAACCCTACATGTCACTACAACTGATATCATAAAAAATGTATACTTAATAGTTAATATTATTGTATGTATATTATTTATATTGAAAATTAAAAATCCTATAAGTTGTACAAAAAGAACTAAAATATTTTGAAAATCATGTCTCGTTTATGTGTTTGAATATTCAGTTAAAATTTCAAGTTTCCACAGATACTTGTTTTTCAATTACAAGAAAATAAGAAAATCAATTTTGTGATAAACTGGTTTTTCAAAATTCTTGTTTTTCTATAATTTATTTTTGTGGTTTTTTTCTGTTATTTTGAAAAGCAATAGGCTTTTTTATTTTGACCCTCTCCCCCACCACCTAAAGTATCTGCTAGATCCAATTTGCTACCAAAAGCCTTCCTCAAAGGAAGAAAATTAAAATTTTTTATCATTGGTAATGACTTAAATAAAAAAAAAAAACTCATTATAACATCAATATATTTATTGCCTCAGCCTCACTCAGAATCTAAAAATAAGCTAACTCTTAGGTTCCTAGATAATACGTTTTTTTTTTTTTAGTAACTTTGTTTGACATAGTTGAAGAAATTCATCAATTGCTATCATATTTAAAGAATTCTTTAAAATATAAGTAAGATAATCTAATAATATTGCACTGACTTACGTTTTAAATGATGCACAATTAAAATATTTGAGTACACTTATTGATCTTAACTACTAGTAGGTAGTAATTTAAATTAGGTATAAATTGTTTTATTATTTTTATACAGTTATGTATAGTTAATATTATTTACTAATAAACTTTCATTATTTTTTTCAATTAGAAATATTTGGTTGGGAGGACATTCAGCAGGTGCTCATTTAGCCGCATCTATGATACATCCTGAAGTAAATGAAAACATTGGTGTTAAAGGATTTATACTCATCAGCGGTATATTTGATCTTAAACCATTATTGGAGACTTCTATAAATAAACCACTCAAGTTAAACAAGTATTATAAATATTTTTTTAAATTAAAATGAGTACCTACACATTATATGTAATTTACTGTAGTGAAATAAATAATAATTAGGTAGGTGCCTAATTTCCTATAATTGTATTATCACTCTCGAAATCGAACTAGGAATTATTTAAAAACATTTCCTATATCGTTTTATTGAATATTGGTTATTCATATAATATATATTCTTTGTATAAGTAGAAACCAATTTTATTATACAATATTATTATATAATAATATTTAAAGAGTATATTTGTTTTCAGGAATACTTGTCTAGAACTAAGTCCACTGAATAATTTATATGGACTTGATTTTACACATAAAACGACTCAGAATTGTATAAAAATTCTTGTGGCTTATGGAGAAAGTGATTCACCAGCTTTCCATTTCCAATCAAAACAGTTTGCCAAAGTTAGTTATTTTATTTTACTTTTTGCTATAGTATCATTGACTATGAGCATTACATTTTATTTAAATGCTAAGACCTTAGTAATAAACAAATTAGAATTACCTATACCAACATATATCTTTTTATATAATTTGAAAGTATGTAGGTACTGCTAAAAGTAAAAACGTATATAAGGTTAGAAAATCTTCCAATAATAATTAAAGTAAATATTAAATAACAATGAAATAGTTAAGTATGTGATACTGCAAGTCTACGATCAAGTATATAACATGTATATTTATATGTATTAACCAAAATATAACTTTGACTTTAACCCCACCCCTAGAGGTCTAGTCTTAAAACTTACTTTATGGTTTGGAAACAAATTGTAGGTAGTTGGTACAAGGTACTTACCCATATTGTTAAATAGTATCAAAAACCTACAAACGAGTTCATGTAAAAAAGTAACTAGTCTAAATATAATTTACTCGTCATATTTTATATTTGGTGAACAATAAATAATAATTAATAATCAATGAATAATTTAATGACTTTGTTAAATGCGATTACTGGGGTAACATTTATGCGCCCATGAATATTATATAACAAGAGAAACATTATATTAAATGTGAACTTTTATGAAATAGTTACAGAAGAAAAATATTTTATAATATTTTTATGTGTTAGATATATTATTGCATTATTTTTTAACTCAAGAAGATTCAAAGATTTTTTGTTAGATTATCTGGGAGAAGTATCATTTTTACCCCTCCCTCTGCAATTACGCCACTGATTTATATTTTTTTTTATGTATTATAGTTTCTGGAAAAACTTGGTTTGGATGTAACAGAAAAAAGAATAAATGGAGTAGATCATTTTGACATTGTAGAGAATCTTTCTAATATAGACTATTCTCTTACAAAAACAATTATTAATTTTATTATTAACTAAACTTTTTCATACAGTAAATTATTATTATTATTATTGTTTATTATATATTATGTACCTATTTGTGTATACCTAACTGCTAACATAAATGTAATACTCAATAATCTAAAATAATGTGACTGTATAAGACATAAAGGTGTATCAATAATTTTCAATTTTATATATGACTTATGTATACAATTTATATGATAGTTTAATCAGAAATTCAGAAAAATATATTATATCAAGTAGGTTGGTATAGTTGGTATAAAACTTATGATATTTTAGTTTTCAATTATATGTTTATTAATAATTTTAAATTGTGTTTACTATTTAGCTATTATTTCATTACTTTATCTAAACCTCCAACTCCGCAGATACAGTGTCAAATGGGTATGTAGACTTATGCGTGGCACTCTGTACCTAATGCATTTAATACTTATATATTTATAGACTAAAATATACTGCCATATTATAGTCATTGATTAAATATACAGTAGATATAATAAATTAATGGTATAGTTAACAATAATAAATATAAAAGTAAAAACAATTTAATTGGGGTTGTTTAAGTCGTTAATGTAGTATTACTGTACAAGGTACTTATTTAAAACCACTGCAGTAAAAAAAATATTTTAAATAGGTACTATTGCTATAAATATTATATAGCAGTGTGCACATTTCTATATATTTGCGACACAACAGATGGTCGTCATCACTCCGTGTGTCACTTTTTTCCTGATAATTTTCAAATGTGTTGGAAATTTAGCAGGTCTGTGTTGCTGTAAAAGTTGAACTACATTAAATAATAAAATTGTTTTTTCATAAAATAATTGCTAAAGCATCAAGTTGTAACTGATGTCTGATGCACAACAAAATTAGGATCAACAAAGTGACTCCGCCAAAGAGTCAGACAAACACTAGAATATATTATTACCTATTAAACTCATATAATAGTATACAGTATGCTATTAGGTATACATTTATACTTAATATTATTACAATTATTAATACATTAATTTTTTAAGCAACTAACTGTGATGAACCAACAAAAAATAAAAGTAAAAACACTAGGTAGAAATGAAAAAGTTATTTTATTTAATGTATAAAAAAATAAATAAAAACTTAAAGTTTACAAGATTATCAAATAGTTCAAATATATAGGTGCGTCGTTCAATTAAATTGTACAACAGTACAATTATTAATACTTGCGTCATATTATACTATAACATAAGAAGTGATTAAATAATAGTTAATAATATATTATAATTAGGTATATAAAAAAAAAAAATAATAAGAAAATAAGTGCAATGTGTATATAAGCTGTGATTAAAATTTAGGAGATAATCAAATATTTATTACAACAAATTAATGTAAATTTTAGCCTATAGTATAGGTGTGCTAGTGAATAGTTACGCTGAAACTATTGTGCAAGAGGATCCGGACACAAATTTACGTTTATAATAATTAACCATCGTAGGTACCTACGTTTGTAAATTAAAACACCGGTGAGTTTGTAAAACGTTATGGAGATGAAAGTTAACGCACATTCTATTTATACTAATTATTATAAATATCTGTGTTGGTATAATATTATAATTTATAATCAATTAAAATTAAAATTAAAATGAGTAATAAAAAAATCATATGACTAGGGAACGCCATATTTGCTTATTTTTATATTTCCAGTAATGTGATATGATTACCGGATACTCTGGAGACTTGTGTAAATTCTGAAATATATAAAATAATTAAATTAATCATCGTTGAGGCAAATAATTAGTCAGATAGATATTTCAAATTAAGAATTGCCATTGATTTAATTTTTTTAATTTTCTTAAATTAAATCAACTATTGTCTATTAATTTACTTCGTATTATTTTAATTTATAGATATTAGATACTGATAATAAACTAGATATACTAATCTAATATTTTTATAATAATTAATGTAAGTTTAGCATTTTTATCATTCAACTTCGGTAATTAATAGGTAGTTTTCAGGATTAAGTAATACGGAGTATAAAAAGGAAGACTAAGGCTAGAAACACATAATTTTTCTCTTCCGCTTTGTAAATATTTTAAATCGTAGTCGATAGTTTCTATTTTTACTAATAATTTTTCTAATTATTACTAATTGTTATATTTTTTCCAAATGTTAAAAAAAAAAAAAAAAAAAAAAAAAAAAAAAAAAAAAAAAAAAAAAAAAAAGAAACACATAACGCTGATATCTACCGAACTGTGTGAGTGCAAATTTTAAAACGGTGTTACTGGTCGAACTCAACAGAGCTGTGATTTAGCAAAAATCTCGCCCCCTTTTTCTTCGATAATGCAGATGTTCAAAATTTGATTTTTATAATTTTTAAAAAAGGAGTAATATCTAGTCATTCTAATTTTGAATTAAGTTCCACACATTTTTCAGAAACTGAAGAATTTACAGTAAAAAGGGGGTTATCATTTGAAAAACAAAAGATCGTGTATTTGTGTCAGCACAGGAAGAAGAAAAAATCAAAAGAATTTAAATAATTTGATTATTCTTTTCATTTAATCATGGTCTTTAAGAGCATTTAAAAACTCTAAAAATCAGATTTTAATTACTGCATTATATTATAAAAAAAAAAAAACGGGGGTATGCATGATGATGAAGTACTCTGTGAATAAATTGTCAAATTGATATAGTCCTTTCATTGGAAATTTCTGTATACATCACTAACATAACATGTCTACATGTTTTTTTGTTCTAGCGTCCGTCTTAAATATAACACAAATAAATAAAAATAAAAATATCATTGATAATTTTTTTCCCAACAGGTCATTAGGAGCAATAGGAGCTAGGTATTCGTTATTACTTATTAGCAATAACTTATTCATGTCGATATTATATAGGTACGTATTGGTATTAGTGTATTACCATGGATTTTACAATAGACTATAAATGATTATATATTATAAAATAAATGGTACTACTTTATATGGTATTACAATAATTTATTATAATAGTTAATAATTTGATGATATAATTGGTGATTTTTTTTGTATATTCTTTGAAGAGGTTTTCATATTATATAATGAATGAGTTGGTGTGATTGGTTTTTACTTTGTTCGTCAAACAATCACGAATTTAATTAATATACGCGGCAGTGTACAATGGCATACCTTTAATGGCTTATAGATATAGACAGGGGTCGGCAATTAGTTTTGAAGGTGGTCCGTACGACATGAAAAAAAATGTCGAGATTCAGAAAACCATCTTTTTTGCTTAGCAAATTATTTTGGGTGTATACAAAGAAACAAATAACGAAAAACAAAATTAGTATTGAAGTAAAATATTCTTGGTGGTTAAGTCATTTTTCTTCCACGGACCGGATTCGGACCGCGGGCTGCCTATTGCTGACCCCTGTCTCCTGCATTATTAGTTATAATAATTCTTAGTAAAGCTCTCTGTTTGGCTATTTAATGTCCTTTGTGGCTGTGAAATGTGAAATAAATTATTTCAATACATCATACAAAAGATTATAAAATATAATTTTTACTATTTACTTTAAATATTAAGTACTGTAACCCTTTGATGAGTTTTTTTATGTATTACCGTAACACCCACTCGCACTGAACAATGGTACAACAAGCGAGGATGTCGGGCGGTACTTATACCGGGACACCAGAATATCTACATTTTGTGAAGCACATCAATGAATTTATTTTAAAGAAATAAAATAATGATTTTTCAGTTCATCTAAAGTTATAAATGACGCATATATTTACGTAATAATATGTATCTATAATCTATTACATGGTCCGCATGATCGGGTGCAAAGACGCAAATTCACAGATTGCAGTTTATATTTAATTTTATGTATATTATTTGTGTACTTATACCAAAGTACAAACACTTAATATCCAAATATTATAACCCATGAATTTCCAACGTAAATATACGTAATTTCTCCGTAGGACATACAAACCAAAATACATAAATATAAGTCAATACTATATTAGTATTAAGTCAATAGTATATTCATATAAAAAAATGAAGCATAATATATTAAATATTTTGATGAATTACCCATTCAAGAGGTTAAAAAATAAAATTAAAATGTTTATTTAATGAATTAATTATGACATCATTTTCTCATATTATGGATTATTGAGTTTAAAGAAATCGGGTATATTTATTTTTTTAAATAAGTAGTATGTACCTACCAATCTGGTATAAAGTTCTTTTAATATTTTTTCGGCTGTATGTGTAAATAAGAAAATATATTTATAATAAAAATAAAAAATTAAATTGTATTTTAAATGGTACCTATATGATATTAAACATTGCATTATTCATTTATTACTTTATAATATAATATTAACAAAAGTTTAAATGTTTAATAGTAAATATATACAATCTAATAACATTTGAAGTCACATAATATAAGAAAACGGTCTAATAACAAATTTATCACATTAAACGATTTTGTAATTTTATTATAGTTTTAATAATTTGTATAAATTATCGAATTTTATTTTAGGGATATATTTGATTACACTGGCTTTACTCATGTGTGTAAATCGAGTTCAACTATACTACCTACTATTAGTATTTAATATAATACTATATACCTGAATACCTAATAATTATATTATTTTCAAGAATATGATTTAAAATGGTTTAATAATCTAAACAAACGAATGTATAACAACAAATACATAATAGGTATTATATACATCGGGGGTAAGTTATGCAAATGAAACATATACCTATTAATAAACTTATGTCTTACGTATTGAATTAATTGTCATACCTTGAATAAATTGCATCATTAAGCACGGACTGATTGCATACGGTTTATTTGTTTTTGCAGCTTTACGTAAGTAATCTCGAGTTTTTGCTTCTTCTTGGCGATTTCCATTTCTTGTTCCTTTTTCTTTAATCTGCTAGTCTTAGCCGCCTCGTTGTTCTTTTGACGTTTTATGTAATAGTCCTGCATGCTATTGTTGTTATTGTTGTTGGACGAATTCTTCGACGAGTTCATGGTGATGTAGATGGATAGTGCGTATAATTATAAACGAATTAAAAAAAAAAAAACGTGTAATTATTATCGGCCGGATCCGCGGTGTGAAAATAAAAATGTTGGCAGAAAAGCGTCTGTTGGTGAAATTTTAGTCAGAAGAAAATTGGGCTGGAAACGAATAACCGTCTAGTACCGTACACGACCGATGTCCATGCAACAATAATATATCGTCGGACTGGACTACTGGAGCTACCCCCGAT